TGTGCCTGTGGGTTCTGTCACAACTATCAAGAAAGCGTTTTAGGTCAAGGTTAATATTGGAATTTAAGGTCCTGTAGATGTAGATTGCACAGTAGTAAGTGTGGATGTTCTGAACAGGGAGTAAGTTTAGATCTATGAAGAGTGGGGGGGGGTGTTGCCAGGGATGGGATTTAGTGATTATTCTTACTGCAGCTTTTTGTTGGGTTATTATTGGCTTTAGGTGTATTGCTGCAGTTGATCCTCAAGCACAAATAGCATAGGTGAGGTATGGAAAATGAGTGAATGGTATAGTGTGAGAAGAGCAGTTTGCGGCATGTAGTATCGTATCTTGGAGAGGACCCCAAACCGTTTTGGATACTTTTTTTTTGTTTTTGTGTTGGATATGGGTGCTGAAATTTAGGTTGTTGTCGAGGTATAGACCTAGGAATTTGCCCTCATTATGTCTGGCAAATAGAGTGATTGTCGTCGATCTTCTTTATTGTTAGTTGCGCATCTCCTGCTCATTTACCAAAAACATAATCTATAGTAGTGTTTTGTCAAGTGTTAAGTGTAAGTGTATTGGCTGTCATCAACGTTGATATTTTGAAGCAGCCTCCTCATTACAATGGTGTTGAGTGGTGGCAAGATTAGGGTGAGAGATGACATAAGTCGTGTCTTCGTCAGCCAAAGAGAATGGGTTTCAGGTGTTGGGATACTTTAGGAAGATCATTAATGTAATGAGGAAGAGCAGGGTGCACTCAAGGACACTTCCCTGCGAAAACTCCAGTATCAAGTGGCCGTGTTATGATAGGCTGTTGTTTTAGTGGTGACATACTGCGATACCTATTTAGTAAGGTAGGATTTGAAATATGAAGCACATGGGCCTCTTATACCATAGTGGTCATGTTTGCTGGAAAGTAGGATAGGATGTCGGGTCTACTGTGTAAACGGATTTCTTAGCGTCAATAAAACTTCTAGCGGATATTCCTTATTTTCAATGCTGTGTAATGCAGATCTAGCAATTTGTATAATTGCATCAATTAGTGATTTTATTTTTCTGAATCCAATTGTAAGTGGCAGGGGTTGAGTGTGTTTTTGTGCTGTTATAAATGAATATAGTCTACTGTGCAGAGTTTCTCGAAGATTTGGATAGCAGTGGTAAGTTTGATATATGCCTAATAGTTGTTTACGTCTGAGGGTCTCCACCTTTTTGTATTGTGTGTACCTTGCTGTCTGAGTAGTGTTGGGTAAAGTGATAGTTTCTTAGAGAAATTGATAAAATAGTATGTTAATTAGCATGTGAAAGGACATGGGAAAGGACACTGGAAGAAAGAGAGAAGAGGCAGGCTTGAGTGTAGCAGTGACAAAAAAAAGGGGGGGGGAAATGTGGGTCAGGTGACCTCCGACAGCTATAAGTATTCTTTTTATTCGATTTATGTAAATTATTAACAATGAACACCAAACTAACACTTATATGCTATATTGGTCCAGCAGCAGTGGATGGACTACGACTAATCCATAGGTCCTCGTTGCCGGAGAGCCCTAGCCAAACACATCTTCCATTTTGAGTCAAATGTTCTCGGATACTAAGTTTACTAGATACCATGGCCGTGGCTGGGGTTGGTTCAGAGCACCCAGCTCACACATGAGGTCCGGGAGTTCGATCTCGCGTTACGAGGATGTGGAAAAGGTGTGGTTTTCGCATCCCGGGACAAAATTAGCGACCATAAAAATGGGCTTTCTGTAAGTCAGTCATTTATGTCCTTGGCTGTATAAGTTGTTCATGAAGTTGTAGAAAAAACATTTATTTTTATTTTTTAAATTTTTACTATTATGTTAAGATGGCAGCCAAGAAAGTGACGCATCAGATCAAGTTGATAAATTATTCACAGGAGTCGAGTATAAAGTTGTTGGTCGCAAAGATCAAAGTTCTTGACCACGACACTGCATGATGCATGACACACAGCATGACCACAACACTGCATGATACATGACACACAGCATGACCACAACACTGCATGATGCATGACACACAGCATGACCACAACACTGCATGATACATGACACAAAAGCATGACCAAACACTGCATGATACTGACACACAGCATGACCACGACACTGCATGATGCATGACACACAGCATGACCACAAACACTGCATGATGCATGACACAACAGCATGACCACAACACTGCATGATGCATGACACACAGCATGACCACGACACGCATGATACATGGGCACACAGCATGACCACAACACTGCATGATACATGACACACAGCATGACCACGACACTGCATGATGCATGACACACAGCATGACCACAACACTGCATGATGCATGACACACAGCATGACCACAACACTGCATGATGCATGACACACAGCATGACCACAACACTGCATGATACATGACACACAGCATGACCACAACAAATGCTGATACATGACACACAGCATGACCACGACACTGCATGAGCATGACAACACAGGCATGACCACGACACTGGGAAAGATGCATGACCCCAAAAAGCATGACCACAACACTGCATGATGCATGACACACAGCATGACCACATACCATGGTATGTGATTGACCTGCATGATGTGTGACTGACCTGCATGATGTGTGACTGACCTGCATGGGGTGTGACTGAACTGCATATGATGTGACTGACCTGCATAGGGTGTGACTGACCTGCATGGTGTGTGACTGACCTGCATAGGGTGTGACTGACCTGCATAGGTGTGACTGACCTGCATGGTGGTGTGACTGACCTGCAAAGGGGGTGTGACTGGCGTGCATGGTGTGTGACTGACCTGCATAGGGTGTGACTGACCTGCATAGGGTGTGACTGACCTGCATGGTGTGTGACTGACCTGCATGGTGTGTGACTGGCGTGCATGGGGTGTGACTGACCTGCATGGTGTGTGACTGACCTGCATAAGGTGTGACTGACCTGCATAGGGTGTGACTGACCTGCATAGGGTGTGACTGACCTGCATGGTGTGTGACTGGCGTGCATGGGGTGTGACTGACCTGCATGGTGTGTGACTGACCTGCATAGGGTGTGACTGACCTGCATGGTGTGTGACTGACCTGCATGGTGTGTGACTGACCTGCATAGGGTGTGACTGACCTGCATGGTGTGTGACTGACCTGCATGGTGTGTGCCTGACCTACATAGGGTGTGACTGACCTGCATGGTGTGTGACTCACCTGCATAGGGTGTGACTGACCTGCATAGGGCGTGACTGACATGCTTGGTGTGTGACTGACCTGCATGGGGTGTGACTGACCTGCATGATGTGTGACTGACCTGCATGGGGTGTGGCTGACCTGCATGGTGTGCGACTGACATGCATGGTGTGTGACTGACCTGCATGGTGTGTGACTGACCTGCATAGGGTGTGACTGACCTGCATTGTGTGTGACTGACCTGCATAGGGTGTGACTGACCTACATGGTGTGTGACTGACCTGCATGGGTTGTGAGTTACCTGCATGGTGTGTGACTGACCTGCATGGTGTGTAACTGACCTGCATGGGGTGTGGCTGACCTGCATAGGGTGTGACTGACCTGCATGGTGTGTGACTGACCTGCATGGTGTGTGACTGACCTGCATGGTGTGTGACTGACCTGCATAGGGTGTGACTGACCTGCAAGGTGTGTGACTGACCTGCATGGGGTGTGACTGACCTGCATGGGGTGTGGCTGACCTGCATGGTGTGTGACTGACCTGCATAGGGTGTGACTGACCTGCATGGCGTGTGATTGACTTGCATGGGGTGTGACTGACCTGCATGGGGTGTGACTGACCTGCATGGTGTGTGACTGACCTGCATGGGGTGTGACTGACCTGCATTGGGTGTGACTGACCTGCATGGTGTGTGACTGACCTGCATGGGGTGTGACTGACCTGCATGGTGTGTGACTGACCTGCATGGTGTGTGACTGACCTGCATGGGGTGTGACTGACCTGCATGGTGTGTGACTGACCTGCATGGTGTGTGACTGACCTGCATGGGGTGTGGCTGACGTGCATAGGGTGTGACTGACTTGCATGGTGTGTGACTGACCTGCATGGGTTGTGAGTGACCTGCATGGTGTGTGACTGACCTGCATGGTGTGTAACTGACCTGCATGGGGTGTGGCTGACCTGCATGGGGTGTGACTGACCTGCATGGGGTGTGACTGACCTGCATGGTGTGTGACTGACCTGCATGGTGTGTGACTGACCTGCATGGTGTGTAACTGACCTGCATTGGGTGTGGCTGACCTGCATGGGGTGTGACTGAACCTGCATGGGGTGTGACTGATCTGCATGGTGTGTGACTGACCTGCATGGTGTGTGACTGACCTGCATGGGTTGTGAGTGACCTGCATGGTGTGTAACTGACCTGCATGGTGTGTAACTGACCTGCATGGGGTGTGGCGGACCTGCATAGGGTGTGACTGACCTGCATGGTGTGTGACTGACCTGCATGGTGTGTGGCTGACCTGCATGGTGTGTGACTGACCTGCATGGTGTGTGACTGACCTGCATAGGGTGTGACTGACCTGCAAGGTGTGTGACTGACCTGCATGGGGTGTGACTGACCTGCATGGGTGTGGCTGAAACCGTATGGTTTTGTGACTGACCTGCATGGGTGTGACTGACCTGCATTGGCGTTGATTTACTTGCATGGGGTTGACTGACCTGCATGGTGTTTTGGCTGACCGCATGGGGTGTGATTGACTTTCATGGGGTGTGACTGACCTTTCATAGGGTGTTGACTGACCTGCTGGCGTGTGATTGACTTGCATGGGGTGTGACTGACCTGCATGGGGTGTGGCTGACCTGCATGGTGTGTGACTGACCTGCATAGGGTGTGACTGACCTGCATGGCGTGTGATTGACTTGCATGGGGTGTGGCTGAACTGCATGGTGTGTGACTGACCTGCATGGGGTGTGACTGACCTGCATGGTGTGTGACTGACCTGCATAGGGTGTGACTGACCTGTATGGGGTGTGACTGACCTGCATGGGGTGTGTACACAATAGCGCAGGTCGGGGTGGCCAAGAACACGCTCAGCACGCTGAAACACATCCCAAGTCTACCCATTGTGACCAGACCTGTGGGTGAGATATATGGTGGTAGTAATGGTGGTGGTGGTGGTGGTGGTAGTGGTGGTAGTAGTGGTAGTGGTGGTAGTGGTGGTAGTAGTGTTAGTGTGGTGGTGGTAGTAGTGTTAGTGGTGGTGGTGGTGGTGGTGGTGGTAGTCGGGGTAGTAGTGATAGTGGTGGTAGTGGGGTAGTAGTGGTAGTGGTGGTGGTGGTAGTGGTGGTAAGTAGGTAGTGGTAGTGGTGGTGGTAGTGGTGGTAGTAGTGGTAGTGCTGGTAGTAGTGGTGGTATTGCTGGTGGTATTGGTGGTAGTGGTGGTAGTAGTGGTGGTAGTGCTGGTAGTAGTGGTGGTAGTGCTGGTAGTAGGGGTGGTAGTGTGGTAGTTGTGGCAGTGGAGGTAGTGCTGGTTGTTAGTTATGACACATAGGCAACAGTTAGGTATCTTTATTTCGAAACGTTTCGCCTACACAGTAGTCTTCTTCAGTCATTACAGAAAATTTTTATGGAAAAAAGGACTGAAGCCCTTTCCCCCTAGGGGAAAACCCCCTAGGGGATTTCTTCCTCCCACCTCCACGGGAAAACCCCCCCACCAAGGCCCCCACCTTGGCCCCTGCTCCCCCAAACCCCTCAGTTTTCCCCCCGGGCCCCACATTTTTACAGAAAATTAAACAAAATTTTAAAGGTTTTGGGTAAACAAATAGGGAAATGGATTAAGGAAAAAACATGGGGAAATTGACAAAAAAAAATCAATAAAAGTCCCAGAATCTTTGCGGGTTAAACAAAAACAAAACTCAAGGAGAAAATTTAACGGGATCAATTTTCCCCCACCAGATCCCAAATCCGGATGAAAGATAAAAGGGGCCAAGAGGGGGAGGGGGGGTTTCTGTCGTAAAAAAATAGGAAATTCGAAAAAATGGGGCATAGACGAGACGGGAGAAAGAGTTTAACATAGTAGGTACATTTCATCGGGAAAGCACAAGGTGGTCTTTGTAAGGGATCCAAAAACCACCACAAACAACAGGGGGCCAAGAGGGGGTTTATGAAAGAGCAACAGCCCAAAATGGTGGCGAAAAACCCCTTGCTAGGGGGCAAGAAAGTTTCACTCCAGCAGAGAAAAAGTTCGGGTTATGGGGGATTTCAACCCAGGGAGTTTTGACGGGGAAAAACCCTTTGGGAAGCCAAAGGGGGGGCCCGAAACATGGAGACCCAAAAGGGTTGGACGGGGTTTGTTTGGAAAACCTCATGCACCAACAAGTTAAGGACGCTACCAGAGGTGAGAGGGGGGGATAACCAGCAAGATTGAACCTTGTTTTTCACCCCGGGTCATTTTCAGACTTTTGGGGCCCATCACGTAGGGGGAAGCCCCCCTAGGAGTTAGCGCCCACGGGGTTTCTGTGCTTTGAATACATAGTAGAGCGCAAGTGGAGAAATAAAAGGGGTTGAATTGGGAAAAAAACCTGACTATAAAAGAGGGGACTACTAGGGGTTTAGGAACTTCGCAGGGGGTTCCGTGGGACCGAAACTTTGGGGGAAAGGGAAAACCCGTAAACGAAATTTATGGGAAAATTTTAACCAAAAAAATGGGAAGGAGGCAGTGGGAAAAAAGGGTTTTTTCCCCAAAGGGGAACGTAAAAAAGGGAAAAAACCAAAACGAGCCCCCGGTTTTTCCCCACGGTGTAAGGAGGGAAAAACAAAATGGGAATAGAGAATTTGGGAAAAAATACAAAGGCAGAGAAACCCCACAAAAAAAGGGAGAACATTTGCAAAAGGCCCGGAATGAGTTGCCCCAGGTAAGGAGGGAGGGCCCCCGCAGTATGAAAATGACATAGCAACGAAAATCAAGACTACCCCCCAAACGTTTTTTTTACCACATCAGGAGGGAAAACAACATCCCGAGACCAGGGTTTTAGGGTTTAGGAAAAAAGGTAAGAACCACAAGAAATTTATCCCGGAGGGAAAGTGAGGAGGGTAAGCAGGAGAATTTTAAAGGGAATTTTTTATAAAAAGAAAACAGAAAAGGGGTGGGGAAGACCCGCAAAAGAAGGGAAAAATCAAAGGGAATATACCAACAAGTGTTGGGGGGGGCAAAACAAAAAACTGAGGGGGAGGGAAGAACCTTAAGTGACCTTGAAAACCTCAAAGGCGAAAGGGGCCCCGGGGAACATTTTTTCCCCTGGGGCCTAAAAAAAGGGAACAGAGATGCGTGCGTGCCCCCCAACCACAATCTTTAAACACATCCCTTGAAACTGGGCAAATACCTGAGAAATGGAAGACAGCAAATGTAGTCCCCATATTTAAGAAAGGAAAAAGAAATGAGGCACTAAACTACAGACCTGTGTCTCTGACATGTATTGTGTGCAAACTCATGGAGAAGATTATCAGGAGAGTGGTGGAACACCTGGAACGGAACAAGATTTAAATGAAAACCAGCATGGGTTCATGGAAGGCAAATCCTGTGTCACAAACCTCCTGGAGTTTTATGACAAGGTAACAGAAGTAAGACACGAGATAGAGGGGTGGGTGATTGCTTTTTTCCTAGACTGCAGGAAGGCCTTTGACACAGTTCCTCACAAGAGATTAGTGCAGAAGGTGGAGGATCAGGTGCATATAACAGGGAGGGCACTGCAATGGGTCAGGGAATACCTGACAGGGAGGCAGCAACGAGTCATGGTACGTGAAGAGATATCACAGTGGGCGCCTGTGACGAGCGGGGTCCCAAAGGGGTCAGTTCTAGGACCAGTGCTATTTTTGATATATGCGAACGACATGATGGAAGGAATAGACTCTGAAGTGTCCCTATTCGCAGATGATGTGAAGTTGATGAGAAGAATTAAATCGGATGAGGATGAGGCAGGACTGCAAAGAGACCTGGACAGGCTCGACATGTGGTCCAGAAACGGGGTTCTTCTCGAATTCAATCCTGCCAAATGCAAAGTCATGAAGACTGGGAGGGGCAAAGAAGACTGCAAGACAGAGTATAGCTAAGGTGGACAAAGACTACTGCCCTCACTCAGGAGAATGACCTTGGGGTACCATAAAACCGAGAACGTCACCGAGGCACACATCAACCAAAATAACTGCTGCAGCATATGGGGGCGCCTGGCATACCGAGAATAGTCCGCATACCCTTAATAAGAATCGTTCAAGACACTGAACACTGTTATGTTTAGGCCCATAACTGGAGTATGCAGCACCAGTCTGAACCCACGACCTGGTCAAGCACGTCAAGAAGTTAGAGAAAGTACAAAGGTTTTGCAATAAGGCTATCCCAGAGCTCAGGGGAATTCGTACGAGGAAAGGTTAAGGGAAATCGACTGACGACCTGGAGGACAAGAAGGGCAGGGGAGACATGATAACGACATACAAGATATCAGAGCGGGAAAAGACAAGGTCGGAACAGAGATTGATGTTCCAGAGGAGGCGAACAGAAACAAGGTCCATACTGGAAGCTGAAGACTCAGGCGAAGTCACAGGGACGTTTAGGAAGTATTTCTTTCAGTCATAGAGTCGACAGAAGTGGAATAGCCTACAAGTGAAGTAGTGGAGGCAGGAAACCATACATAGTTTTAAGAAGAGGTATGACCAAAGCTCAGGAAGCAGAGAGGAAGGACCTATTAGCGATCAAAGAACAGAGGCGGGGCCAGGAGCTGAGTCTCCACTCATGCAACCATCAGATTAGTGTGAGTAACATTAGGTGAGGTGAGTTCTCACACATACACACCCACACACACACTCACACACCACACACACACACACACAGCACACACACACACAACACACAACACACACACACAACACACACACACACACACAACACACACACACACAGACACCCACACACACTATAAAAGAGGACTACATAGGGTTGAAGAACTTCCTGCGGGAGTCCAGCTGGGACAGAGAACTGGCAGGAAAGCCAGTAAATGAAATGATGGATATAAGTAAACAACAAAAATGCAAGGAGCAGTGGAAAGGTATCATTCCCAAGGGCACACAGTAACAACGGGAAACACCAGAACGAGCCCCTGTTTATCCCGACGGTGAAAGGCGGCAAAAACAAGGAGTGCAATAGAGAATGGAAAAAGCTACAAGAAGGCAAAGAACACACGAAAATAGGGAGATCATTCAGCAGAGCCAGGAATTGAGTACGCACAGGTAAGGAGGGAGGCCCAACGACAGAATGAAAATGACAAAGCAATCGAGAATCAAGACTGACCCGAAACTGTTGTATAGCCACAGACATGAGGAAGACAACAGTCAAAGACCATGTGATCAGATTAGAGACATGAAGGTGGAGAACTCACAAGATATGATCAGTAGTATGTGAGGAGCTGAAACAGGAGATTTAAGGAAAGTTGTTAACAGGAGAAAGACAGGAAGGGCTGTGGGAAGACCGCACAGAAGTGAAACATCAAGAGGAATATACCAACAATGTTGGATGACATACGAACGAAACTTAGAAGGAGGTGAAGAAGCTCTTAAATGACCTTGGCCACTCAAAAGGCGGGATGGGACCGACAACATCTCTCAAGCCTTAGAGAAGGAGTCAAGATGCTGTGCGTTGACCTCTAACCACAATCTTAACACATTCCCTTTGAAACTGTGCAACAACCTGAGAAATGAAGACAGCAAATGTAGTCCCCATATATAAGAAAGGAAACAGAAACGAGGCAACTAAAACTACAGACCTGAGTGTCACTGACATGTATGTGTGCAAAGTCATGGAAAAGATTACAGGAGATTGTGGAACAGACCTTGAACGGAACAAGAGTTTAAATGAAAACCAGACATGGGATCATGGAAGGCAATCTTGTATCACAAACCTCCTGGAGTTATAAGACAAGGTAGAAAGAAGCACGAGAGAGAGGGGTGGGTACATTGCGATTTCCTAGACTGCAGGAAGGCTTTGCGACAGTTCCCTCACAATAGATCTAGGCAGAAGCTGGAGGATCAGGCCGCACGTAAAACGGGAGGGGCACTGGAGCAATGGTTAAGGGAATACCTA